AGGAACACGAATTAACAGTTAATTAGAAGTGACATAAACGACTATCCAGTTAGAATTGTAGTTAACTACTGAAGTACACCATTGAAATAGTTAAAAGGATTGGCAGAGTTCAGCTCATTAGACCCACACGTCGGTGGTGAATTGCGTCCTGCCATTGTGTAGCGGTAGTTAGGACAAATAATAGATTTTTTTGTATATGTGACAATATATATATATATATATATATATATATATATATATATATATATTATATAATCTCTCTCTCTCTCTCTCTCTCTCTCTCTCTCTCTCTCTCTCTCTCTCTCTCTCTCTCTCTCTCTCTCTCTCTCTCTCTCTCTCTCTCTCTCTCTCTCTCTCTCTCTCTCTCTCTCTCTCTCTCTCTCTCTCTCTCTCTCTTAGGCGTAGTAGATGCGCTTAACAGATTAGTGATGATTGATAACAGGTTGACAGGTCGATGATGATTATTATTGATAATTGACATGGGGACCATAATGAATTTATAATGTGTGTTTAGACATGTATTCAGCCAGTCATCCACAACCACTCAACTCGTCGCCTCGTTAAAGAGAGTTCAGTATAGTCAGCGCGGTTTACCAAGGAGGATCCAATAGCAAATAATGTCGCTGATTATGGAACTGCGTGTGACAGATTCTCAACCGTATTTTCTTCTTCTTCTCTTTCTTCTTCTTTCTTCTTCTCTTCTTCTTCTTCTCTTCTTCTTCTTCTTTTTCTTCTTTTCTTCTTCTCTTCTTCTTCTTCTTCTTCTTCTTCTTTCTTCTTCTTCTTCTTCTTCTCTTCTCCTCTTCTTCCTTCTTCTTCTCCTTCTTCTTCTTCTTCTCTTCTTCTTCTTCTTCTTCTTTCTTCTCTCCTTCTCTTTCTCCTTCTTCTCTCCTTCTTCTTCTTCTCCTTTCCTCTTCTTCTCCTTCTCTCCTTTCTTCTTTTTCTCTTCTTTCCTTCTTTCTTTTCTTCTTTCCTCTTTCTTCTTCTCCTTCTTCTTCTTCTTCTTCTTCTTCTTCTCCTTCCCTTTCTTCTTCTCCTTCTTTTTCTCCTTCTCCTTCTTCTTCTCTTCTTCTTCTCTCTTTTTTGAATACCGGTCACTTCTGTTGAGTTCTTGAAGATGTGAACGAATAATGCTGTGTCATCTCGACCCGAAATTAATGGTGTTTGAAGTCAAGGTCTATTTAAGTACTTATATACTTACTTATATAATTAAATACTTAATTAAATAATTAAAAAATACTTAGATAATTAAATACTTAAATACTTGTTTAGATCATGTTTGAAGTCTATGGTTCCGGGGCCGGATGGTCTAAACGTGCTAGTTTCAGGCCCAGTGTGAGCTCGCCTGATTGTTCCATCCCTTGTATTTTCTTATTTCTTTTTTATTGCTCATTAAAATCGATACTGTTTCGTTATCCTTGATATTGTGGTTATGTTTTATTATTCTTGACTTTGTGTTTTTTTCATGATATTAGAATATTAATAGCAATAAGAATAAGAATAATCAAGGGAAAGGGTTAAACGAGTTAGGATATAAGTAATTGTCTCGTGTCACTCAGAACTGGGGGGGGAGGGTTGGAAAAAAACCATTTTATATCATCATTTCTGCTTATATTTTCCCTAATGATGATATGATAATTTATAATAGTCATCAGTGTTGTTATGGCAGTTATTATCAACTTGACCATCATTATTGTTATTTAGAGGTCGATCGCCACCGATTAGGATGCGACGGAAGGTTGTGAAGAAGGTGCTGTCGGTCGAGCAGGCGGAGGGGCGTGGCGCGCGCGTGAGGAGGAGCATCGGGCGAAAGGAGGTGAGTCTGAGGAGGAAAAAAAAAAGGAGGTGAGTCTGAGGAAAAAAAAAAAAGGAGGTGAGTCTGAGGAGAAGAGTCTGAGGATCTGAGTCTGAGGAGAAAAAAAGGAGGAGGTGAGTCTGAGGTGAAGGGAAGAGAAAAAAGGGAGGTGAGTCTGTGGAGAAAAAAAAGGAGGTGAGTCTGAGGAAAAAAAAAGGAGGTGAGTCTGAGGAGGAAAAAAAAGCGATTGGGGAAGCCAGGGTTGAAGGGAAGGCACAGGTAGGTAGCTTATCCCAGGTGTGAAGCCCGTGTGAAGCTCGTGTGATGATGAATTCGCTGTTGGGCTCGCGTGTGAGGCGTTGGGGGGGGGGGGGGGAGTGCGGCGTTGGGGGTGAGTTGGAAGGGGAAGGAAGTTGTTATATTTGTGTCTGTGGGTTGTTCTTTTTTTAGACTTACGTTGGTTGGTTGTCTCTTGACATGAATGAACGCGGTCTCAACATCCTTTTGGATTTTCATTTGGTGTTCACTTTTTGAGGCAGCAATATTATAGGAACTGAATGAGATTGTATAACAAGGTGTATCACACATCCCGCAGCTCAAGAAGGATGCACGCAATATCATAACCGCACACGAAAGCGCCGGTGGTTCTCTTGCCGTGTGATGAGCGCGCACATGGAAAGAGTGAAACGCGTGGAATTTATTCATGACCAGATTGGAAAGTTCGCTATGCGCAGCGGATATATCCGCCGCGCACTTGGTATCTCAGCCGCGGTTCTGGCCGCGCCACTTGGACAAATTCTTTTCTCTCAGCCGCGCCATTTAGTGATTGGAGGCTTAAACGCGCAGCCGCGGACTGGAAATTCCTTGAGTTAAAGCCCATGACTGGCTGATTGGACCAACGAAACCAGCAACTCTTACTTCAGCCGCGCATTTTTTTTATCAATCTGTACGTGTAGCTGCGCAGTGTCTGCTTCTAAACAACACCTCCGCCGCGCACTTTGCAGAGTTTCCAATCTGGATTCATGACGCATTCTAGGTCGAAGGTTTCCGCCCCCGTAGATTCCCCGGCGACGCGAGAGGCCTGCTCCGCGCGCGCGCCCGAAGACAAAGAAGTATTATTGTCTTAAATTAAATTAGATTATTATTATAGTCACAATGGAGATTATAAGTAATAAAGGTGGAATAGAGAGCAAACCATTATTTACTAAATTTCAAAAATAGAGAGATAAATAATAGCATAACAATTCATAATAATACTGCAATGGGATGCTGTCTTTACCTTTTCTTTGAAAATCGACATGACACTTAGGGCACTTCAGTACAAATTGCAAGAGTGTGTTATTTAACAATCCATTTTTTTGCTTGCTATGGGAAATGCTAGTGTCTGTACAGTATATCTACAAGTGCATGCAAGGGCGACACTACATCATAATGCCACCTGATTTTCACCTTCGTTAAGGAATTACTATATTTTAAGGCATTGTGCTGTCTCGTATTCGAAGAGGCTCCCACTGAATTTATCCTGGTGATGGCCCCGTGTTTATAAATGTGCGTGCCAGATTTTCCATTTACTTAAGATGTATACCAAGAATTCTAACATTCTTGTACATAGATGAATTTAATGTGCATATTCAGTGAAATTGGAAAAAATCGAACTTCTTATTAGATAAAAGAAATAATTGGTATTTCAAACAGTTTACTGAAATGAATCGATAAATGATCTAACCAAATCAAGCAATCAGAACGTAACTAATCCAAACTAATCAATCAGATCGAAGGATTCTAACCCAATCACGAGGTATTTAATCAGGGAAAAAAATAAGCCGAAATTAGCTAATCAGGAGAAACTAACTAATCAGTCCGGTTAAGAAAAAATAACGAGACAAGTTAAGCGAACGAGATTCTGATTAACCGAACAGTTTAATCAGACCAGCCCTCGTAACCAGGCCAGTCCTACGAGCCAAGTATGACCAACCGAACCAGGCTAATAACCAGTTGAATCAAACAAGCCAGTCATATGATGGAAACAAGTACCTTAATCTTGTCGAATTACTTAAATTTCTAGCACATTTATTTTGCTTTTAACGATTAACCATCTTTCTCTCTCTCTCTCTCTCTCTCTCTCTCTCTCTCTCTCTCTCTCTCTCTCTCTCTCTCTCTCTCTCTCTCTCTCTCTCTCTCTCTCTCTGTCTGTCTGTCTGTCTGTCTGTCTCTCTCTCTCTCTCTCTCTCTTCTCTCTCTCCTTGCCTCT